AGGATATTTTTATTTGGCAACTTTTACTGAGGAAGGTTCTTTTGAGGTGGGAAGGGGTCCTTTTCTTCTTCTCTATGGATTAGATTACACTTAAATGAGATGCTTGATCAGGTTCAGCTGGAAAGAGGATGACCTTGGTTAACCCACTGTTTAATCCAGTTCAACTAACATTCGAACCTAGGCTACTTTGCCAAGATTTCCTCGGTTGGATTTGAGAGCCAGCCTGCCTTGGAGAGTAACAGTCGGTTAATCCTATTCTAGGATGGTAGTTCCGTCATCCTCTGGTATCGGCAGCATTATTTCTGAGTGGCCTTCAACTTGTTAGCTTTTTATATCAGACTCTGATTTCCTATCCAGCCATTATTTACTCAGGGCTTACGATGACTGATTCCCTCATTACATTATAAAGTTGAATACTTAAAACACTCATGTGATGGGAACAGTGATCTTCCCCATTTTGCAGATAAGGACAATAATTGATCTGTCTGAACTTTATCAGTCTAAGGTCACACATATTAAAGGGGACAGAGTGAGAATCAAATCCGTATCTTTTGACTTCGTATCCACTCTTACTTTTACCACAACTGTAGCTTGTAGTTCCATCCCAAGGAGGGAAAACGGTATAAACTGGACTAAATCAGGTTTTGAAACCACAAGCCAAGTTAAGTCATTGCTATTAATGGAAACAATTGCATGAACCCCCATAGCCTTCTTGCACCTACAGACTCTACCCTGCCCTCAACTACATCATTACAGCTTGGAATGCAGATGTTCTGCTAAAGACTTTAAACAGGAAGGTTGCACCACGATTCATGCCTAATAAGTGCCAGTGATACTGCAGCTATTTTATAGAGCAGCAAAACAAGTTTCAGCAACCCAGATCTTTATCTGCTTCAGCGGAAAAGACTAGTTACATTTTAATCTCAGTTATATAAATGATTGTTATGAAAACAAGCTGGTACATCTCTAGAAGGTTTTTTTTTTTTTTAACTCTTCCTTTGATGCCCATTAGTTCTTTTTTTTTTTTGAAGTAAAGGACGAATTAAACTATCAGTACATTAAGTATAGAAAATGAGGTAGATCTCACTATTGAATGGGTATTCTGGTCAGGATGTTTCATGGAGTTGAGACACACTGTAGCCGAAATCACCTCTAGTAAGGCATAATTTATGTTCAATGAAATGTACCAGATTTAACTGTAGATCTTAATATGCTTTGATAAATCTATGTGCCCGTCATTTCCAATATCCCCAGAAGTTCAGCTGTGTCCCTTTTCAATCAGATTCCGCTTCCCCCAGTTACCACATCTCGTCACAGGTAACCACTGACCTATCTGCTTTCTGTAACTACCGAATAGTTATTCTTCATTAGAATTGCATATGAATAAAATCACATTGTCTATATTCTCTTTGTATTGGCTTCTTTTGCTCAGACTGTTTGTGAGATCTATGTTGTATGTTTTAGTAGTTCATTTCTGGGTAGTATTGCATTGTTGGGTTGTCCAGTTTGCTTATTCATACCACTACAATAGACATTTGTTTCAAGTTTTCAACTGTTATAAAGATACTAAGAAGATTCCTGAAAAATATTTTGTGTACATATAACACTTTTATTTCTGTTGGGTAAAAGCTATAATTAGAATTGCTGGGTCATAAGGGAAATATACACACACACATGAACTTTATAAGAAACTTCTAAACTGTACCACTTTGTATTCCCTCCATCAAAGTACAAGAGTTGCAGTTTCTTGATATTCTCACCAGCACTTGGTATGATCAGTCTTTTTAGTTGGAGTCATTCAGATGGCATCTGGTGGTGTTATACTGTGGTTTTAATTTACATTTACCTAATGAATAATCATGTTGAACAACTTTTCATGTGTTTATTTGCTGTTTGTATTACATGTCTTCTTAGGTGTGTCTGTCCAAATCTCTTATGCAAATTTTAAAAATTGGCTTGTTTGTTTTTCTAATTATTGAGTTTTGAGAGTTTTGTATATGTATATATATTTGGGTGTGTGTGGATGTGTGTGTGTATATATATATATATATATATATATAAAATGCAGATTCTTTATTTTATATTATATATATTTTTCCCTTAAAGTTTCTGATTTTTCTCTTCATTCTCTTCCCAATGTCTTTCAAAGAGCAGAAGTTTTAATTTTGATGCAGTCTCATTATTAATTTGTTCTTTTATGGATCGTGCATTCGGTGTGTATCTAAATAATCTTTGCCTAACTCAGAGTCACAAAGATTTTCTTCTAATTTTCTAAATGTTTAATAGATTTAAGTTTATATTAAGGTCAGTGATTTATTTTGAGTAAATTTTTATATATTGTGTGAGGTATGAATCTGAGAATTTTTTTGGCATATATTCAGTTGATTCAGCACATTTGTTAAAAAGACTATCCTTTCTCCACTGAATTATCTTTGCACGTTTTGTAAAATCATTTGTCCCAATACATGTGAGTTTATTTCTGTTCTATTGATTTATCTTGCTGTCTTTACATTTATATTGCACTGTCTTTATTCTAGCTTTAAATTAAGCTTTAATTTTGGTAGCATTAATCCTTCAAAATTGTTCTTAATTTTCAGAATGCTTTTGGCTACTCTGGGCACTTTGCATTTCCATATCAGTTTTAGAGTCAAATTTTTTTTTTTTTTTTTTTTTTTTGTGGTACGTGGGCTCCTCACTGTTGTGGCCTCTCCCGTTGCGGAGCACAGTCTCCGGACGCACAGTGGCCATGGCTCACGGGCCCAGCCGCTCCGCAGCATGCGGGATCCTCCCGGACCAGGGCACGAACCCGTGTCCCCTGCATCGACAGGCGGACTCTCAACCACTGCGCCACCAGGGAAGCCCGAGTCAAATTTTTAATTTCTGAAAAATATGCCTTTGAAGATTTTGAATGGGATAATGTTGAATATATAAATCAATTTGAGGTGAAGTTATCCCTTAACCACGTTGAGTCTTTTGACCTGTGAACAAAATATATTTCTTCTTTATTTAGATCTTTCTGGTTTCTCTGAGCAATCTTTTGTAGTTTTCAGAGTACAAGTCTTTTGCATCTTTTATGAGATTTCTCTCTCCCAAATTTTTAATACTATTGTAATTTGTATTATTTTTTTAAATTTCAGTTTCTGTTTTTTTGTTGCTGGTATATAGAAATACAATTGGTTTTGTTTATTGATCTTATGTTCAGTAAATTTACTAAATCACTCATGGTGGTAGCTTCTTTGCAGATTCCATTAACTTTTCTATCTAGAAAATGACGTCATCTATGAATAAAAGAGTTTTATTTTTCCTTTCCAATCTGGATAACTTCAGTTTCTTTTTCATTGTTTTATTGCATTAGCTAGAACCTTCAGTACAATATTGACTAGAAGTGATGAGAACTTACATCTTTGTCTTATTCCAAGTGTTTAGTTCTTCACTATGTTGTATGATACTAACTGTGAGATTTTTGTTTATCCCCTTTATCCAGTTGAGTAAATTCCTTTTTCTCTAGTTTGCTGGGATTATGTATCGGTATGTTTGATTTTGTTCAGTGACTTTTTCTGTGTCTGTTAAATTGATCTTTTTTGTTAAGTTTATTAATATGTTGAAATACATTTATTTTTATTTATATATTTCCAAATGTTCAACCAGCCTTGAATTCCTGGAATAAAACAGACTTGGTTATAATGTATTATAATTTTTATATATTGTGTGATTCAACTTGCTAAAATTTTGTTTAGAATTTTTACATCTGTGTTCATGAGGGATATCAGGGATATCAGTGTCTATTTTCCTTTTCTTATAATGTCTTTATGTCTTTTTTTTTTTTTTTTTGCATTACGTGGGCCTCTCAGTGTCGTGGCCTCTCCCGTTGCAGAGCACAGGCTCCGGACGCACGGGCTCAGCGGCCATGGCTCGCGGGCCCAGCCGCTCCGCGGCATGTGGGATCTTCCCGGACCAGGGCACGAACCCGTGTCCCCTGCATCGGCAGGCGGACTCTCAACCACTGGGCCACCAGGGAAGCCTTGTCTTTATGTCCTGATGTCAGAGTTTTGCTATCAGAGTAACGTGGTCCTCATAAAATGGGGAATATTCTCTCCTTTTCAATTTTTTGGAAAGAGTTTATGTTTAATGGTAATATTTCTTCCTTATATATTTGGTAGAATTTATCAGTGAAGTGATCTGGGCCTGGAGTTTTCTTTGTGGAATGGCTGAGCTGTTAACTACAAATTAACATGCATTCCATTCTCATAGGGCGAAGTGGTCTATAAATGCCGATTAGGTCAAGTTGGTTGATAATGTTGTTAAGATCCTCTGTATCCTTAGTGATGATGTTCTGTTTACATGTTCTATTAATTTTGAGAGAAGGATATTGCAGTCTCTTACTGAAATTGTGGATTTGTCTCTTTTTCTTTGTAGCTTTATCAGTTTTTGCTTCATGTATATTGAAGTCATATTATTAGATGAAAGAACATTTAAGCTTGCTGTGTCCTCTTAATGAGGCTATGTTGTTTTGCTTTTTTGCGTGTTTGGCAATTTTTTATTGTATGTTAGACATCTCAACATTGTGGTTTTCATTTCTAAAAGTTTGACATAGATCATTTTTACACAGAATTGAATGTTTGATTTTGTTGTGTTTCTTTAAACAGTGGTGTTTAAACACCTAGTGGTTATTCAGAGTACACAGAAGTTCTAAAAATTATTATTATAATAGCCATCTTCACACATGCCTGAGCAAGTATGTAAAGTTTATATACAATGAGTAGCATATGATCTTAATTTGAGAGGATTTGTAATAATCTTGATGAAAATAAAAAGATATGTTTTTGTTTTTGTTTTTGAGGTACGCGGGCCTCTCACTGTTGTGGCCTCTCCCGTTGCGGAGCACAGGCTCCGGACGCGCAGGCTCAGTGGCCATGGCTCACGGGCCCAGCCGCTCTGCGGCATGTGGGATCTTCCCGGACTGGGGCACGAACCCGTGTCCCCTGCATTGGCAGGTGGACTCTCAACCACTGCGCCACCAGGGAAGCCCGAAGATACAGTTTTGAAATGAATTTAAGATACGAATAATACATTCAAGAAGCCAAAGGAGAAACAACAATTTTTCATTCTATACCACATTTACTTTTGAGTATTTAATCATATTTAAATGAAATCTAAGTGAAAAATTTTTAAATATAAAAAATTAAACATTTCTTCAGCATATACTATATTCAAGGCAGTGTGGTACTATGAGCCAAAAAAGGAAGACATAATATGTCCTGGTTTTGAGAAATTTATTGGGTTGGCCAAAAAGTTAATTTGGGTTTTTCCGTAAGATGTAATACTCTTTGGTTGGGGAAATAAGACAGAAAAAAAGGCAAGTAGTGTCAAATGAGTATAAGTACTATTAGTATAACTTGGTCTCTGTTGTCTGTAGAGAACTCAAAATTTTTAATATACATTATATCTACAAGGGTCCAATGGGAGTCAGTTATGTTAGGACTGTCTCAGGACCCTAAACAACACAAAGCATGATACCCCAAAGCCCCCATTGCTGAATGCCATTCTCCTTCTTCAAAAAGTGTTGTTCTTCTCAGTGGCATCCTGTCTGCTATTCCTGGGAAAAGAGAGACTAAGTTTGTCAGACAGAAGCTGCATCCTAACTCTCTCTCCTAGCTTGTGCTTCAGACATCCACCGGCTTGCACTGGGTAACACCCTTTGTTTGATTAATCCACTTCTAAATCACTTATCTGCAGCCTTTCTGTACGAAGACTTAAGGGGCTCTCTAGGGCAACTGAAACTACAGAGGTGTGGCTCTACAGGAGCAGAAACCGTGAGACTGAGAAGTTTGTGAACAATGGGTATGTAAGCTTGGCCCTCGGGCCATACTAAACAGTAGATACAATCACCCCAAAATTGTTTTATATGTGTAATTTATTTTCCTATAATTAGCAAAGTATCATTTGTATTCTATAAGAAAATAATGTTGGTATGCATACTATAAATTTAACTGTAACCTGTTTATAACACTGTTTATTTCACCAGGAATAAAATGACTTATAAATAAACAGGTATTACTTCCCTTTTCCTTACTTACCCTAAGATCCCATTCATTTCTTTTCTTGCCTCTTTGTCTTTTCTGTCAGGTTTCTAATTCCCAGCCCCTCATCTCTCTTTTCCATCCTTTCCTTCTCATGATGGTGTGCATGAGGTAATGGGTTAATGTTTTTGACAGATTTTATTAAAATCAGTATTTGAAGGTCTACATGAAGGTAATCTTCCACAGTTGCTCTCTTGGGAAACGATGCAATATACGAATAAAATCGCCACTGCACATAACCTTTTTAGAATCCATCTTTGACAGATTTATTCCATAAACATATTTACTTTTGCGTTTCCTAAATTTATAAACGAAAGTTTTCTCTTATGTTATATTTTAATGACTTCTGATTATTTCAGATACTCAGAGGAAAAATAATGCTTGCTACTGTTGAAGATGTTCAAAAAAATGCAGCACAGCCTCTCAAGGTAGTCTGAAAAAAGATTGTCCAAAGAACTTCATGAATGAAAGCATCATCACCCAAAGCTTTTGCCTTTCAAAATAACAGTGATGTTTAAAAAATACCTTTACTTGAATAGATAGTATAGAGTTGCCATATGTGCCTCCCCTGACACACAGTTTTCCCTATTATTAATATCTTGCATTGATGTGATATATTTGCTATAATTAACAAACAAATATTGACACATTATTCTTAACTGAGATCCATAGTTTAGATTAAGGTTCATGCTTTATATTAGACAGTTCTTTGGCTCTTGAAAAATATATAGTGTCATTTATCTACCATTGCAGCATAATAAAGAATAGTTTCATCATCCTAAAAATCCCCTGACTTTTACCTGTTCATCTCTTCCCCTTACCTCTGGCAACTACTGATTGTTTTACTATTTCTAGGGCTCTGCCTTTTTCAGAATGTCATATAGTTGGAATCATATAGGATGTGGCCTTTTTAGACTGGCTTCTTTCACTTAGCAATAGGCCATTAAGATTCCTTCATGGTTTTGGTGGCTTGATCGCTCAATTTTTTTATTGCCAAACATACTCCATTCCATGTACCACAGTTTGTTTATCCATCCACCTATTAAGGGGCATCTTGGTTTCTTCCAGTTTCTGACATTATGAATAAATCTGCCTAACTTTCCTGTGCCGGTTTTTGTGTGGACGTAAGTTTTCAACTCAATAAGGTAAATACCTAGGAGTGCAAATGGTGGGTCATGTGTTAACAGTATGTTTACTTTTGTAAGAAACTGCCGAACTTTCTTCCAGAATGGCTGCACTCTTCTGCAGTCCCGCCAGCAGTGAATGGGAATTCCTCTTGTTCTGTATCCTCACCAGCATTTGGTGTTGTCAGCATTTTGTATTTTAGCCATCCTAAATGTGTAGTGGTATGTCACTGTTGTTTCAGTTTTCAATTTTCCTTATGACCAGTGATGTTGAGAGTATTTTCATATGCTTTTCCACCTGTATATCTTTGGTAGATGTCTGCTTAGATGTGTTGCCCATTTTTAAATTGTGTTGCTTGTTTTCTTATTGTTGAGTTTTAAGGGTCCTTTCTCTATTTTGGATGCAAATCACCTGTCAGATATGTGTTTTGCAAATATTTTCTCCCAGTCCTTGGCTTGTCTTTTATTCTCTTTCACAGAGCAAAATTTTTAATTTTAATTAAGTCTAACATCAATTTTTCTTATATTTTCTCATATTTTTGATGTTGCATCTGAAAACTCATTGCCAGACGCAAGGGCACCTAGAGGTTCTCCCATGTTATCTTCTAGAAGGTTTATAGTTTTGAACCTTATTTACATTTAGGATTATAACACATTTTGGGTTATTTTTTGTGAAGAGTATGAAGTCTGTGACTAGATTCATTTTTTTTTGCATATGACTGTCTAATTGTTCCAGCACCATTTGTTGAAAAGAGCATCCTTTTTCTATTTATTTGCCTTTTTTTTGTGACAAAGATCTAATGACTATATTTGAGTGGGTGTGGTGTTTTTTCTCCATTTTAAAAATAACACTTAACTAGATTTTTTTAAATAAAATGAAATATAAATAAGAAAAACACAAATGATCTATAAAGAGAGGGCTTCCATTTGTTAGATGATTGAGTAAAGTTGATTTTGCTCCCTTGTTTCAGAAATCATTCCAAAGCAACAAGGATAATGGGAGACACAGACACAGATTTTATTTTTGATAACAGTAGGAGATTTTTTTTTAAACTCTAAATCACAGTATCCAAGAAAAGGATTGCAAAATGTTGTGCTGGTTAAACAAGGATGCCAGGAGGCACTTAGATTTTGTATGTGGGGCTGTGAATCTCTAAACAGCTGGAATTCCCCAGAGTCAACATACTTCCTAGGGACAATGCCTTCTTTGGAAGAACGGAAATGGGTAATTGGGCTAGTTGCACAACTTTCCTGAAAGCAATTTTATACTGTAAAGAAGCACACTTGTGTGCGCGCGCGCTCTCTCTCTCTCTCTCTCTCTGTCTCTCTCTCTCTCTCTCCTGTTACATAAAGCACTTCAGTATAAACCAAACTCCTATTTTGGAATGCTGGTCTCTTATGCATGAACTTCCTTTAATTGTAGAGGATAAATTTGCTTCATTCAAAGACATCTAATTTTTTTTTTAATTTGAGATACTACAAAAAGTCAAAGAAACAGAGAAAACAGAGGTCAGAGAATATTGATAATGATGTTGCCCTAAAACATGAAAATTGTGATTATAGGCATACATTTAAAAAAAGTAAAACACTTTTTAAAATATATAATAAGAGTTGAAAGCAGAGATATGAGGGCCCAGAGAGATGGCCATGTTGATGATTTTCATCTAAATAGCCTCAAGGAAATGGAATACTAGAGCCGACCAAAGATATAAGTACCTTCTAGCTCCCTCATAGATTAGGTACGATATTCAGTTAAATATGATTTGCGACATATCAAAAGCCAGGCCTGCCCCCTCTAATACCTCTTCACCTGCCAACCTTGGCATTATCCTCTCCTTCTGCCTAACACAAGAAGTTAAAGTAATTCTACTCCACTAGGTCAGGCGGGCACCTGTGTATCAGCTTAACCAAGACTGTATGGAAATGTACACTGCCTGCAAAAAAGGATATGAGTTATCGATGGCTGCTTTGACGACCTTGTCTAAGCACGTATCAGTTCATCTCTTGAGGCTTGTTGAACGTTGCATAGAGCCTGGCTGTGAAGACGAGATGATGGTCAGATAAACTGTAGTGCAGAGTAGCCTAGGAGTAGCACGCCACAAGATGGCGCTAGACTGGCGAGAACCGACACAGTAAAAAGCCTCAGAGAATTGAAGGAAGTATTTTTAGTCCATTTTGGAAGGAGGTTGCCAAGAAACAAACATTTTCTTGGGAAGACACGTATCTTTTGATCCAGTAAGTCCAAGTCTGAATATTAGACTCTACTGGAAATCAGTTGTGTGACTTTAAGCAAGTTACTCAAGCTCTGAGAGCCCTGTCTGTGAAGTGTAAGAGATGTTTGTATCGTTGGTTGTTGGTAGTTTTAACTGAGATGAAGTTCGGAAGGTACCTAGCACAGAGGAGGTGGCATTCAGGCTGTGATGCACAATTCCACAGGGCAGCATTCTCAGTGTGGATGACACTGGAAGCTGTGGAACGTGGAGGCCCTAGGCAGTCAGTTAGGATGACTATTATTATTGCTGCCTTCTCCTTTTGCCCAAAGGCAGCCCCAGCCAGTCATGTACTGGAATAGCACAGGAAAATTAATTCTCTGCTCTTTCTGTTTTACTTCTTGTTACTTTACAGCCTTATACACGTGTGATGCGTGAGAAAAGGGCCTAAACTGATAGAAGAGTGTTCCTGGTCAAAGCCCCATTATTCTTTAACTAATTTGGGAAAGTGAATCAATTAAGAATTTGGTCCCCAGTTTCTTCGTCTGTGAAAAGAGAGAGTTGGACCAGATAATCTGTAACACTCTTTCCCCAATTCTTTGTTTTACAGGCTGGGTCTCGTTCAATCCTTTCATCCTGGTACAGTTGCCCATAGAGAAGAAACCTTGTTCTTAAAATGGCAATGAAATTCATTGAACATGAATTCCCAGAGGATAGGAGAAACGGGCCAGACTTCTCCTACAAGTATGTGGCATCTAGTCCTTGGCAAGAAAAGGAAGTTGTCAGGCTAAGCTTAAAATATTCCTCTTTGCTGATACAGTATTAATTAAATTTGCTTAATCATTGCTGCAACTGTTTAGCAGAGAGGACTTACGCACAGAGGGCTCAGGGAGCAAGCAGATTATGGGAAAGTATGGGAACATCGAGGGCAGAATCATGTTTACAATTAAAGTTGAACCTCCTCTCCATCTCCCTCCCCCCTCCCCCTTCTCCCTCTCTTCCTCCCCCTCCTGTCACTTCTACCACTCCTTCCTCTTTTTAATTTCAAGGAATTGAGCAGTTGCTCAGAGACCTTGGCGATTGCGCGCTGGGGCTCTGTCCAGCTGAACAGCCCTCCATTCCCATCTCCCTGGCAGTTACCCACAGTAACTAATGCAGACTGAGAACACACACGTAAGTCCCTTTCAAACGAAAGCCATCACATCTACTCCCACTTTCTTAGCAGGTTTTCTAAATCTTCAATAAGTTTGTGTTCGCTGGGAATGAATGTCTGAATTTAGGCTTCAAAAATATTCCTCCCCCCGTCCCAATCTGTATAATTACTGTTTTTTTTTTTTTTCCTGAAGCCTTTCAAAATACTGTAATTAACAGATTGGCAGATAACCCATAGAACTGCAGTTAAGGCAAATATAGTATGCAGCTGTCTTTGCATTAAGTGATTAAATCAAATAGCATAGTTTTGAAGTACATTTATAAAGCGTAAATTTACCTCCTGGCAAAACCGTCTTAAGTAACACACCCTGCACCATCTGTTCACTCAGTATTAATAACCATATTTCCCAGGACGATAGCTACGGAGAGCAGAGCTACCAGCTGTGCAGAGCTAAGAGGTGCTGAAGGATTCTTTGGAATACTCAGCAACTATTGGATCCTCTTAAGGACGCTCACAGTGATTGGGCATGTGAAACACACACACACAACATATATGTGTGTGTGTATATATATGTGTGTATATATATATATATAGGCGCACATGCATGCACATACACCCATGCATGTGCCTACACTTGCCCATGTACACACGTGCACACACACACGCACACCACCTCAAGGTACAGATGACTGTATGCTCACTTTCCATGAAGAAGACAATACACTGGTGTGACTTTAACTGTATTTATTCAAGTACTTATTTCATTAAATGATTCATTCAGCAATGATTTATTAAATACCTCTATGTGTTAGATTAGGTTCTAGGTAGCAGGAATACATTGATGAAGGGCAGTGGCCCCTGCTCTTATGGAGCTTACAGTCTAGCACAGAAGTCTCATTAATAGACTCACTACAATACATGGTAATGATTTAAAGGCAGGATAGAAACCCCCATTTAGGTTTATAAAATCAAAAGCTATAAATATTTTGCATTTCAAGGCTATGTATAATAAGTGAAAACTGTTCCATAATCAAAAATGTATCCAGAACCTGCCATGAGTGGCAGTAGCCTCAGTGGACAAAACAAGAAAAAGGTGTTTCCAACCAGGTAAAAAAAACTGAAGGTAGCGGTAAAAAGAAACGCTAACTTGAATGATTCAGACTATTGTGCAGAGTTTCAGAGACAGCCAGCAACTACTGAGGCATGAGAAGCCTGAATGGGTTTCACAGAGCAGTGGTCTGCCCTGGCTGCCCCCTGGAATAGTCTGGGAGCCTGCAAAAAATATTCATGGCCAGGTCCCACCCCAGATCAATTAGATTAGAGGATCTGCGGATGGGGCTTAGACATCTCTCGGGTTTTTTTTTTTAAGTTTTGGAGGTAATTTTAACGAAACTTATCCTGCAAGAAGTGGAATTTGAGCTAGATGTCAAATGATGGTATAATCTAGAGCTTTACTGGCCAATATGTTAGCCACTAGCCACATGTGGCCATTAGAACTTTAATTAATTAATTAAAATGAGATAAAAGTCAGGTTCTCAGTTGCCTTGTCCCATGTCATGTGCTCAGTAATCACCATAAATTCTGTTGGAATGTGAACCAGATGGATGAAGAAGAGAGAAACTGGATAATGACAGGAGTGAAGGCATAGTGTTTGGAGAATTCATTAGCGGCTGCGGGGAGAAGTGACTAGCTGCTTACAGCAGTGGGAACTTGTGAAAAAAGGTATGTAAGGGGGAGTGGTAGGAGATGGTGATAGTGAGGGTCCCTCAGTCAGACGGGAATACTTAGAGTTGAAGCAATAGCCAACAGGAAGTATGGAAAGATTGGATGTAGAAGAATGATAAAAGGGAAACTGTGTTAAAGCAAATGGCCTGGTGTAATTCAGGATGGATGGAGGATGGAGTAACTGGAGTTTGCAAAGCTGCTCTTCTCTTCAATAGGAAGATGGGATGAAGACCTAGTCCAGTTAGCTAGAGCACGTTTCACTTCATTTCTAGTTTTATCTGGGAAGTCACACCAAAGCTCATTTAAGCTTAAAAAAAGTCAAAGATAGGATGGACTCAAACTTGTCAGCTTTCTTGAAGACATAAAGCTAGAGCTTCCGAAGTCATAATTTACAGTTAGGAGGGATTGTACAGGCCATCCAAGCCAATTTTCTCAGGTCATAAGTGAAAACATAGAGGTACGGAGACGGTGAATGAATTCCCCATGGTCTCACAGCTAACGCAAGGTAGATACTGAACCAGAGTACAGGCTTTCCAGTTTCCAGACTGGGAGTCCTTTTATTACATACCACCTTCCAGATTTTAGTGTATAGTAAAAGTCAAAGACAGTCACACACACAAAAATAGCTTTGTCATGAAGGTTTCAAAATGGAAGTACCTTGAGTAGGAAAGCAAAGAGCAGGAATGTAAATAATCAGTTGAAAATCAAAGATCAGATATTACTATTTTGTGCAGGAAAGTGGAAGTAGATTCTTAAATTTTGTGGTTTACACGAAACACCAAGAATGCAAGCATCTAAGCTCACCTTCTTTTACTTCTGTTAACGATATGATTGCTTCTTTTAGGGGTACCAATCGTTTGATCTTTGGGGACTTAGCGTTATACAAAATCTTGTCTACCTAAGAGTCCATTACTCTTGTGAACTCTTGTGAACAATGCCTTATTAGAAACACACAGTGCTTTCTGTTACTGCTGCTTAATCTAAAGAAAAAAAGAAAGGTTTCCCTTGGTAAAGTCTGAGTAACATAGTGCTGCCAGACTGGACTACAAGATTCAGCCTGCAAAAGAAGGTATTCTGAGCTTTGCTTTGTATCAGTATTTATTATTGTATCAGCAGCTACATTTGACGTGCTTATAATTTATTAATAGTCTTTATCTGGAAGCAGAAACAAATTCCATAATTCTCGTGAATCACATATCCTCCAGGCATTTTTTAAATCTAGTTTTTGTTTGCTGTCACTGGTACTGAACATTTCTCATTTCAATTCATGCAGAAGCTGTTCACTGAAACCTGGTATCTGGCCTACTCCAATATTTTCCATTTTATTGGTCGATGGGAGTTGGCTTTAAACTACCAAGCTTATAATTTATTACCGGAACAGACAATTTAAACATTTTAGGATGTGTTCAGGCACAGCTCAAAGTTTTAACAAGGCTGCTCTCTTTATTTCAGAGCCCTTCCCTGTCAAGTAGGCTCTTGTATTTTAACAAAGAAATCACTTTTTTTTTTCTTTCAGTTTTCCCTTGAGTTAGAATGTGTATTGAAACACTTTATGAGGAAGGTAATGTGGGGAAGTAAAGTTAATCTCCAGGAAGGAAAAAAAAAACTGGGAGTCTTTTGAGGTCATATAAAAAATAAGTGAAAAGATGGCCCAATTATTTTGACAGCAGATGGGATCTCTAAGCTGTTAATTAAGAGACTAACCATTAAGAACATGAAGACTCAAGTTTCTAGAGGTTTACTCCTTCTTTTCTGGTGTTTTGAGAAGATTTGATTATATGGTACTATTTTTAAATGTCATTTTATAGTTTTAAAAAATGACAGAAGAAGCACCTTAACAAAATGATCATCCTGAGGGGACAAGAGTAAAAAACCACCGTATTCCAGGTTTTCATCTTACGTTAACTCCAAACTATTTCCCCCGTGGACAAAAGACCATTCATTACGAGAAGTAGGTGATATAATTCAACATGCCTATGCTAGGCCAACTAATAAATCAGGCAAATGGGTGCCCTAGGCAACAGAATGGTATCTTCAGCTGATGGGATAAATAGGTGGATGGACAGACGGCAGAATGAACTGATGGATAGATGGGCAGACAGTATTAGTACTCATGTGAACAAATGCCACCCAGTGTTCATGTCAAATAGAAAAAAAGCAGGAAGAACCAAGAGAATTGCCAATTGGTAGATAGCCTCAGTAATGACAGTAGAAATAACTCAAGGAACACAGTTCTTTCTGGCACGAGCTTTGTCTTACTTGACTTTATATCCTCCGCATCTATCATAGTCCCTCTCATTCAGTAGTTCAATAAAGTTGCATAAATGGAGATAAAAGAACAGAAATAAGGACTCCTAGATGCGAATGCTATCAAATTGCATTTCAGGGAACAAGAATGGGATATTTCCATTAGAATTGAAAAGAATCTTAGTATCACAGAAGGAAAACAACTGGAGTGGAAATAATGACTTTTAAAGATGTTCGTTCTGAAGCAGCCTGTCTAGAAAGCCCTGAGAAGTCCTTGATGAAGGGGAGAGATGTTGGTGACAGGGCTGTAGAATGGGTGGAATGTGCAGGGCCATGAAACAGGACCAGGCCAGGAGCAAGGAGACCAAGGTAGACCTGGATGTGCCGTCTCTAGACGAGGAGTCCTGGGACAAACCTTCTGTGGGCCTAGTTTCTTATTGTATTAAATAAACTAATTTATTTACCCCTTAGATTCTTTTCTAAGTCTAATGTACATTTTTATAATCCTTATGTTTTATTCTAGAAATCTCTTGTCTGACTCCCTGCAGTACAGGTGATTACTCTTTGGGAGAAGGTGGGCAGAAAGCAGAAATACTGGTTATCATATCACTTTCATTTATGTTATGACTTGAAAAGTTTTTCATGTTTCTCAAATGTGATTTTATTATATGAAACCCTAAAATACTGAGTCTACGTAGGAGTTCCTAAAAGTAGCACCTGGAAAAAATTGGGTTTGAGCCAAAAAAAATTACTTTAAAAGAAACTTCTCTAAAAACATGTTGATATTGGTATATATTTGGAACTACGTATGCTACGTGCTAAAACCTTTGTATTCTTTCCTTTTTAAGAAAAATCATTCAGTGATTAGCATTGAGATACATGATAAAGGCTTATGTTTCATTGGTTTAAGCTTTCAAATTGGGAATTTCAAGGATCTGGTGAAGCACAGGTTCATCCCCAGGTTTGGCAGTCTGCAATTTTCAAATACAGTTTGAACTCTCCGTGCAACTATAGATTTCTTTCTAGCTATAGGTTTCTTTCTAGATATTTATAGTAATGCACAGAGTGCAGAGGAGTGGATACCTATACCTGAATATTTGTTTCTCCTCTGTAGGAGGCTGGGAACAAAATGTTTCTGTTAGTAGAAAATGACAACAGTAAATATGAAGGGAAAAGAACCACAAATCAGCAATGATGCATATGGTAAAGCAAACATAGGGCAGCTTTATCCCAACGTAGAAACGCTTTGAAGAGAAATAGAGTTCAAGTGAAATCTGTTAACCCAACACTGTGAGCGGGTTTCAGTGGAAGAGAAAAAACCCTGAGGTGAAAGAACTCTCAGGAGGGTCCCATAAAAGGCTGAAGTGGGGCGACCTCTGCCTTGAGTTGGTTTTCAGCAGAACAGCATTATGGGGCAGTGATATTAACATACAGAAATAAGACCGGAGCACTTCATCTTGTTGAGGAGAATCAATCTATATAGGCTTGTAGGACTGTGTCCTGTGGATTATTGGACTAGGAGCTGTGCCAGGTGCACTCAGAAAAATTGGGGTGTTTTGAATAAAGACATTTCAGGTGCGGTAAAGCTCCTATTGGTTTTATTAGTATTCTTAATCATAACTACTGTTTCTCATGTGACTGAGGACTTTTATCTCTACCTTCCAGATAAAGAAACAGAAAAAGAAAGAAGTAAAATGACATTTCCCACATCACTCTGTTGGCATGTTACAGGGCAAAGGTTTGAACTCATATTAATGTGATCCTTTTATTTGATATTTTTACATGTATGTATTTTTATTTCATTTGCATTTTCCAATAATTTTTAAAATCCATGTTGAAAATGTTTAGAACCACAGTTGTAATAAGAAGATCCTAGTGTTTTTGTCTGAGACAGAACCTAATAAAACTGTTTAAAAGCTGGGATTTCTTGTAAAATGGATGGCTAGTGGGAAGCAGCCGCATAGCACAGGGAGATCAGCTCGATGCTTTGTGACCAACCTAGAGGGGTGGGATAGGGAGGGTGGGAGGGAGACTCAAGAGGGAGGGTATATGGGGATGTATGTATATTTATAGCTGATTTACTTTGTTATACAGCAGAAACTAACACAGCATTGTAAAGCAATTATACTCCAATGAAGATATAAAAACCATTTTTTTTAAAGTTGGGATATCTCACTTTGAGGAGTTGGATGTGATGGTGACAGCTGTGGGCATCAATGTATGTATCTCAAAAGGAGTTAAAGCTCAGCAGGACTGATCGATGGACCATTTCTTAGAACTGTTTATTAGGAAACAGTTTGAAACTTATAGAAGACTTGCAGTTTGAAACTTAGAGAAAATTTGCAAGTCTTATAGAAAAAGACTGCCCAATAGCCTTTACCCAGCTGCACTTACCGTTTATAATTTGTCCTGTGTGCTCTCTTTCTGTGTAAACATTATTCTTCGTCCCATACTTTTGAAATTGAGTCGCATACATCATGGCCCTTTGCTTTTAAATACTTTATGTGTATCTCCTAAGAAAAAGGCTATTCCCTTAAAAATCCACAGCAGGGTTAGCAGCTTAACTGATTTAACATCAACACGGGACCTCTGTCTTATCTACCATCTCTATTTCAGTTTTGTCAGTTCACCCACTCAGCAATGTCCTTTACAGCCTGTTTTCCCTCCAGTACAGGATACAATTAAGGATCACATATTTCTGATCCTTTACTTATCATGTTTCTCTGGTCTCCTTTAATTTGGAACAGCTCCCAGGAGCAGCAAGACACTTGAAAACTCTCAGAAAGTAATAGGATACCATCCTTCTAGGGGAAAAAGTTGGGTGGCTCAGAGGTCAGAGTGGAGACTGAGACTTGCATGCGAAATTCGCAGACCATCTTCCTGGGTGTGGTAGAGGTTTCCAGGGTAAATCCCAAACACCATTAATCAGGGGTGATAATTTGGTTTTTTAAGATCTTTCAGGACACCCGAGAAGAAACATTTCTCAACGTTGTTCATCAGCTGCCTTCTGTCTCAGCTGCCTCTGGGATAATCCTCTCCCTGTGTGAGGGCTGACCTGGAGAGCAGTGCTGAGCCTCTGATCAGATGCTATCCCACGGATGCTCAGGGAACAGAATCCCACTGAATGGAGCATAGATGTTTCTGAAGGTCTGAGGATCTGTGCCCTTCTTCAGCCAAGGACTGCTGGTGGGAATGTCAACTGAAGACCTCGAGCAGGAAACCTTTGGTACTTGAGTTTTTTAGGCAAGAAACAATGAAAAATTACTGTATCCACTTCAAGAAATGAAGAACAGAAATGGAAAACTGATCGTAACAAATTGAATACAGAATACTAAAGCGTAGTATTCGTGAATAATGAATATCTGCATGTTGTCTAGAGAAAGGGGAATGAGAATGAAGTCCCCGACTCTCATTCTTTTTTTGTCTCTTAGCATCAGCAGGGCCAGGAAGAGGATCATTAACAGGAAGGTGGAACACTCACAGGTGCGTTTCTGCCCCTTCAACACTGTGCTTTCCAAGGGTTGACCTTAAACTCTCTGTGGGGACCCAGGTTGACAATCTCTGAGGATGTCAGTTATTAGACTGACTCCCTTCTCAGAAACAGGGCCATCAAAAGGGAAGTCCAAAGGAGGGAAATTCCCGGGCCAACCATGGGAATAAAAGTATGACAGAGGGCTTCCCTAGTGGTGCAGTGGTTGAGAGTCCGCCTGCCGATGCAGGGGACACGGGTTCGTGCCCTGGTCCGGGAAGATCCCACATGCCGTGGAGCGGCTAGGCCCGTGAGCCATGGCCGCTGAGCCTGCGCGTCTGGAGCCTGTGCTCCGCAATGGGAGAGGCGACAACAGTGAGAGGCCCGTGTACCGCAAAAAAAAAAAAGTATGGGGCCCACCTACTCAGTGGTGGTATGGGCTGCAGTGTACACTAGTCAGGGTTATCCAGAGAAACAGAGCCAGTAGGGTGTGTATAGAGAGATTTATTTAAGGAATTGGCTCACGTGATTATGGAGGCTGGCAAGTCCAAGATCCTCAGGGTGGGCTGGCAGGCTGGAGACCGAGGGAAGAGCAGATGTTATGGTTCAAGTCTGAAGGCCATCTGGAAAATTCCTTCGTGCTCAGGGGAGGTCAGTCTTTTGTTCTATTCAGGCCTTTAACTGATTGAACAGGGCCACCTGCATTGTGAAAGGCAATACTATGCTTTATGCAAGTGTGCTCATTTAAATGTTAATCTTATCTAAAAGCACCCTCACAAAAACATCAACTCTGTATAGGTTTAAACAAATGCATAGAGTCACGTATCTTATTTTATCAATTTTATACAACAAACAGCTATTTTTTTGGCCCCAGCAAGTTTCACTTTCCATTTAATGTGATATTTATGGCAAACTGTCTGCCTTCTTTCTTTTTCTTTTATTTTATTAATTAATTAATTTTATTTTTGGCTGCGTTGGGTCTTCATGCTGTGCGCGGGCTTCCTCTAGTTGCGGTGAGCAGGGGCTACTCTTCGTTGTGGTGCACAGGCTTCTTATTTCGGAGCACGGGCTCTAGGCGCGCAGGCTTCAGTAGTTGTGGCGCACGGGCTTAGTTGCTCCACAGCATGTGGGAACTTCCGGACCAGGGCTCAAACCCATGTTTCCCGCATTGGCAGGCGGATTCTTAACCACTGCACCACCAGGGAAGCCCCTTCTTTTTTCTTTATTGCTCCAGTTACAATACTAACTTTACCATTTCCACTCTATGTCTTTATTTTAAATAATAAAAATTTTTCATATTTATGTTGCTGAACTAGAAAAATAAGTTAATATTTTCACTGTAAAATCATTAATTTCAATATAATTATCAATTAAACTTACATAGATGTCATAACCTGTGATGTTTTCTTAAGATATTCAAATAAATGCATTACAGTGTTGCATTGATTCATAGAAAAAATTTGAACTGAATTAATTCATTGGCACCGACATGTGCTTTATATGATACTAGAAAAGATGCACTAGCACCTCACACATAGTACAATATATTACAAGATGCAGTAGTTAGCACAAAATGGAGGACTAAAATGGTATTAAATTGAAAGATAGTTTACACTGTCCGTTGATGGACATTTAGGTTGTTTCCATGGCTATCATGAATAATGCTACAATAAACATGGGTGTATCTCTTCAAGATCCTGATGTCAAGTCCCTTGGATATATACCTGGAAGTAATTCTATTTTTAATTTTTTGAGGAGCCTGCATACTATTTTCCATAGTGGCTATACCAGTTTCTATTCCCACCAACAGAGTACTACTCTTCTCTTTTCTCCACATCCTTCCCAACGCTTGTTATCTTTTGGGTTTTTTGATAATAGCCATCCTTCTCCAAAGAAGATATGTAGATGGCCAACAGACACATTAAAAGGTGTTCATATCACTAATCATCCAGGATATGCAAATTAAATCCACAGTGAGACAGTCACCACCTCAGCTTTGGGCCAAGGCCACAAACTTTCTGGGAAGTCCTCAGCCAATGTCTGAGCATGGCAGTGGCGGGGGGCTTCTATCTGTGGCAGGACACAGCAGTCTTCTATCTGCAGTTCCTGATGGGCTGGTGGAGAGTTTGCCTACAGCTCCTCTGCCCAATCCTTCCCCCTCCCTGCTTTCCTTTCACAAGGTTCAGATGTGCACTATCACCTAATATCTTTCTTTACCCAGACCTGCTTCTTGCTCCCTTGTCTTTCATGGACATCATCACCCCTTATCCCCCAATAAAAGTTTTAGCCCCAAATTACCTTTTCATGTCTGCTTCCAAGAGACACAATTCCTTAAATTGTTTTCCTTTTCTTCTGCTCTGTGATTGCTTGAAATTTTTAGTGTCTCCCATCCTTTCTTAGGGATGTTTTTAGATTCTCTGGCAGTAAAATCCCACATATTTCTGCACACAACTTAACTGAAATCTACGTTGCTAAAGTTTATGTTTATCAAGAACTGTAAGGCGATATATTCATGTCCTCATATTCTGAAGTCTTTTTTTCCTTTTTTGCTAATAATGACAAATTTTCAATGTTACCAAATCAAATAATTCTGGAGCTGCAGCCACCTTGCCCAACACTGCTGTTTTATAGATGATATGATGTAGCTGAGGGCCAGAGTATTTAAGTGATTCATCTCAAATTGCAAGAATTATAGGATGAATTTCCTTCAGAAGTTAATTGTCTCAAGAGAATTTCTTCACTTTCATGACATTTCTAATCAGAAAGTGTCAGATCCTAGCCCTAAACTGCTCATGTACTAATCTTGCTAAATTACTTCCTAATGTCTTTGAGATTATTTTACTCATCTGAGGTTTGATAGATTAACTCTGTGTATGTGATGAGTGCATTCTCCTTGGGCGTATATATTCCATATATGCTGGGGAAAGCTATTTGCCCGGGGCTAGGTTAGCAAGGAACAAGGTGATCATGGAAAGCCCATTAATTAATATATATTTAATTTAATTAGTTTGGGCCAGGAAGTTAATATAGAGTACAGTATTAAAAGATATAAAAGTGCTAATTAATAATGAAAAATGAATTTAGATAATCTATGGGATGTTTTTAAAAGTATCCTTTTTTTTTTCTCTTGTTCTTTCCATGGCTCCCCACCTTCCTTCTTCTTCATCCAAATGGCTACCGCTGTGATTGTCCATTATTCGATCAACAGTTAACCCCCAGGAACAGAATCTAGGATTTCCCAGGAAGGCATTATTAGCCTCCTTTCCTGCAGACATTGTGGTGCATCTTGGGAAGAGAAACTCAAATTAGCTACCAAAAGGTAAGATAGAACTGGGGGTGCCTACTCAGACTTGGGTAGGAGGCAAGGAGGGTGGCAGTTTACAACAATTATACTTTACAGTTCTGAAAGGATTGAACACATACACACCCAGTTAATTTGACCCCAGGAGGCATGCAAGCAATTTTCTTCCCCTAAGTAATTCTGTCAAATGTATCCATGTTTTCATTAACTGCTGAAATAATTTTTTCTATTCATTGTAGGTTATACTGTACTTGTTTTGTGTTAATAAGTATTTATCCTCTTACCTTATACTATTACAATCATTAACTGCAATGTGTAAATGTACTAGTTATTACTGTCTAATTTTTGTTGAAAAAAGCACAACAAAGGAGTGAAGGTGAAAAAAACATTTCATAAAAAGCATGCAGCCAGAGTTTCCTGCCAAGTAGCAGGGCACTGAATTCATGACATTTAGTTTCTGTGCCCAACAGCTATGTCCTATGGTTTTATTGAAAGAGAATACTGATCAGCCCAGGGAAAATAATATTCTTGAGAATTGCACATCTTGGAACTGAAGAAAATGAGAAATTGGAGGGAAACTATCCATGAGGTACTGCCTCTCCCCCCTCCCTTCTTTCCTTCCTTCCTTCCTCTCCTTCCCATCCCCTCCTTCTTCTTCCTCTTTTTCTTGTTCTTTTTTTTTTTTTTTTTTTGTGGTACGCGGGCCTCTCACTGTTGTGGCCTCTCCCGTTGCGGAGCACAGGCTCCATACGCGCAGGCTCAGCGGCCATGGCTCACGGGCCCAGCCGCTCTGCGGCGTGTGGGATCCTCCCAGACCGGGGCACGAAACCGTGTCCCCTGCATCGGCAGGCGGACTCTCAACCACTGCGCCACTGGGGAAGCTCTCTTGTTCTTTTTTTTAATGGAAACAATTTAACTGTGGACCAGGAAGGCATCAGAAGTAAGATACAGATAAGATAAGGTAGCTTCCAGTCAACAGTATCCATTTGGAAAGTTGGTTACCACACAGAAAAAAAAATGCACAACGTTAAGAACTAACCATAAGGAAAAGTGAAATTAAATGCTAGTAAGTGATACAAAAAGAATAAGCATTAAGGGGGAACAAATGCATGTATACATGGCTCAGTTACTAAAAAAAAAGTCTCATAGCTGTCAAAGCACTTCAGGGATGTTGTGGATAAGCAATGTCTTGAATATGACTCTTTTTTGTACACAATATTTTAAATGAAACAAAATCTGGGGAGAATGTAGCAAGTGCAGCCTCTTCACTATGCAGTATGTTAATGCGTCAGATTGGTTGTACTGCTGAACAGCTTGAGGGAATGGCAGTATTTTAATAATACTATATGGTAACCTGGCCTTTATAAATCATCTCTGTTTACCTGCAAGATGGTATTAGCTTAAGTACAGAAATGTCATTCCTATAGCTGTATATCACTTGATTTTTATTTGAATTAGCAAGGTAGCATTTAAGTCTTTTTTTAAGGAGAGGAATTAGATTAGTTTTGGAGGAGAGGAATGTTGATTACTGAACATAAAAATATGTATTTGTCAGGGTTGAATGTAGGTTCCAGGGTTGAATGTAGGTTCCAGTAATTATCATTTGTTGTTTTTTGACCATGAGAAGGTTACCTCAATTTCTTACTAGTTGCAACCTAAAGGCAAAAATAATGGAGCATCCTGGAAGTACATCTGCAGTCCTGTTTCTTTGTCTTGGATTACTCTAAAATCCGTTTCACACACATTATTTAAAGAAAGGCCATTGGCACAGATGGAGAATCTGAAGCGCAGAAAGGTTGTCTGTGATTAGCTATAAGCCGCACTTATTTATGCTACTTGCACAGGGTATATTCGAAAATTTACATGTTTTTATTCCATTTTAGTGTTTTTCTTTTTTGCATCAAATAATTTCTCTGTATAAACAATCTGTGTTGATCGATTTTAAAAATGCCTTAATCCGAATGTCTCAGGGAAGGCGACAGGCGACAGTGCTGGCTGCCACACACCACCTCTCAACAGCATCCTGTCCAGGAGCACTGCTGTTGGTCTTGTCCACTACAATGAATTATGCATAACTGGAAGGCTAGTTGTTGGCATGGAAAAAGTGTGACATGTTAGATTAAAATTAAATATTGAGTAGGTTTCCTCCTAGAGGCATGAATCAAAGAAAAATGCTTCTTTTTCATCAGTGAATGTGGAGGCTTCCCGTTAACGAGTCTTTGCACAAAGGAATCTGACTGTCACAACATGGCGCAGAACACTGAGTACATCACGCCCGGCTCTGTCCTCCATTGCTGGTTGGTGTCACAAGGAAGTCCCAACAGTTCTTGGAAATGACTTGGTGATGAGAATCTTTCTGTAGACTCTGCTGCTTTTTCCATGCACCCTTTATGGCCTTTGGTTGAGTGGGGCCTGAACTTAACCCACAGACCCATTAGGGGCAGTCGTAAAGCAAATTACAACAATAACTATGTCAACCATGAAACGGACGAAAACACCCCCAAATGATGCCCCTTTCCCTTCCTCACTCAGGAAGGCTCAGTGAGCAAGCCCTGGGAACAAGAACCTACTGAGAGAAGGTGAAGGACTAACTAGGAGCCACTCTGACAGGCCTGGGAAGGGAAGGAAGGAGATACAATAGCCACTGAGCAAACCAACCAACCTTCTCCGAAAATATCAACTCCAAATTTAACTTGCATTTGTTGGTCAATTTCCTTGTCGGTTCCTTCTTCCCTTTTTTATAATAACACATTGGAAGAGAATGAAAATATGGTCTCTACTTTTCAAAGCAAAGTAAACCAAGTACCAAAAAAGACGTTATTCAGGATATGTCTATTACAAACTTGGCTCTCCCAAACCGATCCAGTCTTTTCAAGATCCTGGATTAAAATCTCTTCAGTCCTTCTCCCGATATGGTAGCTGACATTAACACTCGAGACTTGGCTAGGGATATCAAAGGTCATTTCTTTTGCAGGGATGGGCATGTATCTGGGTGTTTATTTCTCTGCTAACTAGAGGTTCCTTTGCAGATATTGGACTGCTGTCTCTGACGATGTTCCAGTGCCCCCTGAGGGCTTCTGAGTGTAATAAAAGCAAACGAAAGAGCGGCTTCGTATGAAATAATTCACTGTGCAGGAACAAAGCTGAATATGGGACTCAAAGGATCTCTGAAGTAAAGATTAACCGCCAGTCATCAGGAAACCTAAAGTCATTTGAAATAAGAGGTGCCACAAGCCAGAAGACAGAAGCCATAAACACATACAATATTAATAAAGCAATTACAGTAAGTGCTATAACACTCTGCTTTTCAAATCTCTTGCCACTTCAAGAAACATCTGTCCCCGCCACTAGAAATTACTGTTAAAAAAACCAAACCAAACCAAACAAGCTGTGCTTTGTGTTTCAGCTTTTCATTCAGTATCCTGATCAGCCAGTCCACTGCCAGAGCTTCAATACCAATTTAATAGCCTATTCCCTGGGTTGGTTTTCCAACCAATGTAGCCAGTTGTACTTACAGTAAGCAGAGGAGCAATTAGCTGATGCACTGCATTGTGCAAACTGCCTGGATCCAATCACGCATAATGTCTCAGGGGAAATTCAAGTGACCAGATGAATCCTTATTTAGTAGAAACTGGCTTGAGCCTTAGCTTCCCCAGATCCTGAAAGTTGTTGGTTCCTTATATATTTTTAAAATAAATTTTCATGTTTAGTTACAGTGCACATGTTTGTTACTTTGTTGCTGGTCAGTACACTTCAGACATGCCTGCTAGAGGGAGGAGACATGGTGATGAATGCACACCTTTTCAAAAAACCAGATTGGCCTGAGTTCTATTCCCTGTTTGAATGGGAATGACACAGATTCTCTGAAAGTTTCCTTTCCCACATTTTAAAATAGGAAATTTAATTCCTCCCCATCTCACAGGGGATCAGATGGAAACTTTTCCTGAAAATGCTGTGTATACTGTAGAGAGCCCTAACAGGGTAAGGATTCCCCCATACATGAGTTGTGGTACACTTTATCCTTCAATAGCAACCTATCTTAGAAAATAATTGAGAAGAAAGGCAGCCATGTCCCTAAGTAATCACTGACCCTTCCATTGAAAAGAGACACAACAAAGCTGAGGGATTCAGGAAACAGGGAATGAAGTTTGCTTCAATGATGAAGAAAGAGATAAAGGTAGTAGTGGTTTCTTAAATGGAAGATTATGACAGAAGATAAATTTCAGACGTCCACTACTTGGGGTTGTAGATCTGAATGAGCAATTGGGTTAAACGTTCACCCCAGTATTTAAATTAGAAACCCTTAAAGTCTACCTAGGTTTCTTTTCCACACTTATCACAAAGTCCTGATTTCATTGATCACCAGCTCTCTCTTCTTGCTATCTGTGTCATAAAATAGGCTTCCTCTTTTTATTCTCCTTCCCACGGACTTTGTTCAAAGCCATCTCCATTCTTGCCAAGACTTCAGCGGCCTGCTGAATGATCTGTCTGCTTGTGGCCTCCTGCGCCTTTCATCTGTTCTCCAGATTGGTAACAGAATGTTTTCCTAAAATTCAGACCTGAGCTGTCATTTCCCACTTAAGCCTTCTCCATGCCCGCTCTCACCTACTGAACAGAGCTTGAGCTCTTTAGGCGGCCTGCTGATCCTTTGTGATAGAGCCCTTTGCCTGACTTTTTGTTCCATGTGTCCTAACTCCATACACGGTCCTTCCATTACTACTTTCAGTTCCTAGAATACGACATCCTTTGGAGCCTGGCAATGCGTTCCTCCTTCATTGTGCATTCTTCACTCTGCACACTTGTCCACAAAACCAATCACCTCTTATCCTTTTCTGTCTAGCTTATTAGATAACCTGGTTTGGGTTTGCTGGTCACTTCTCTCTGTACACACCAGCTTTTAGAGTACTGTTCTCAATATGTGTGAGATACAGCATCATAACATAGTGGAAAGAAGGGAGCTTTGGAATCTTTTATTTTATTTTATTTTATTTTTGCGGTATGCAGGCGTTTCACTGTTGTGGCCTCTCCCGTTGCGGAGCACAGGCTGTGGACGCGCAGGCTCAGCGGCCATGGCTCACGGGCCCAGCTGCTCCGCAGCATGTGGGATCTTCCCGGACCGGGGCACGAACCCGTGTCCCCTGCATCGGCAGGCAGACTCTCAACCACTGTGCCACCAGGGAAGCCCTCAAATTTGGTTTTAAGTCCTAGCTTACAACTTACTATGGCAAATTATTTATACTCTTGGAACCCTAGTTCTCCCATTTGTCAAATAGGAATAAGAATGTCCAAGTTTGGTGAGGATTAGCAATAGTATATATGAAATACCTGATGCTATACTTATAGTAAGGGCTCTATATATGATTGCCACAGTAGATTATATTGTAATTGCTTTGTTAGTTGTCTTCCTCATCTCCTTTAAACTATGACTTTGAAAAAAGGGGTTATATCATCTTATTTTTTCTTGTTCATCATTCTGGCCTCAGTACCTAGCAAAGAGCCTGGCACATAGCAATTGTATAATACATATTTGCTCAAAGAATCAACCAAAAATAAAAGGTACATGAATGGTGAAATCTCTTTGAGAATTCGTACTACAGCAGGATTAGAAGTAATGACTTTGATAGTGTCTGTAAATCTGAAGCATATTTAAAACAGCATTTGATTTTCTGGTTCTTGAGTTTTACTATGCTGACAAATGAACATGTTTGGAAGCTGTTTCTTCTGAAAGGACAGACTGCTATCAACATGAAATGAGGCCTGTATATAGTATAATCCCATGTTGTTTTACCATCTTAATCAGGTGTTTTGAAAATGGAATCTGGTACCTAAATGGCTCTGAATTTTGACTCTCAGGTGGAACATTGCATGTGAAGCAGGGAGTGGAAAGAGATAGGAGATGACCGGTCAATTAGAGGCCAGATGGAGGAGTACCTTGCAGTTCACAGTTACAACTTGGACATCCCCCTTTCAGGGATTTATTGAAGGATTTAAACAGGGATGTGACAGAACCAGATGTCTGCTTTAGGATTTTATATGGAGGGTGTGTACAGGATGATTCCCAAGGGAGCAAATCTAAAGAACATCCGGAGGTTGTTGAAGAACAAAGGAGATGATGAAGAGCTGAAATAAACAGTGGTCAGGACCAGCTTCAGGGTCATGTGACCTATGCAATCACACAAGAAAGGTCCCCGACTTAGAAAGGTCCTGTGCTTGTTTTCATGCTCTGTTGTCATTGTCTTGAAACTTTTAATAATTTTTGGAAAAGGGACCCTGCATTCATTTTGCACTTGGCCCTGCAAATTACTTAACTGGTCCTGGCAGAGGTAGTAGGAGAGAAATCATGATAGATGGTCCAACACATAGGAGGATAAGTGTTCTGCTCCTCTCTGCTTTTCTGTGTATGTGATTTCCGTAGTGCCCTCAGGTTAATCCCTGCCTGACCCGAGTGAGGTGTGGGTGTTGGGATGAGTGGAATAGAGAAGATTTAAGCATTTGATTGTAGTAATATAAAAGAGTAAATACTAAGTCTCTCTCCTTCAGTGGGGAAGTTTTGATGTCTCGTCCAGGCAGTGCATAGTCAGGATTGATTAAGGGTAGAAACAATTATCTATGTTCTTCTGTCTTTTCCTGATTAAAAAATAAAATTTTATTCTGTGTCCAAAAGAGGGGGTAAAATCACGCCAAGATATTGGAAGCCTAAGGCCAGTTCCGTCTAGCCCGAAGGATTGTGACAGCAGGATATCAGAGAGAGAGGCCTGAAGGGGACAGCGTCCTCTGGCATTCAGGTTCCCATGCTGGGTACAAGTTCACATGCCCCGAGAATGACACAGAAGAAGTGATGACCGTGAGAGCCTGGTTTCTGCATCTCGGCAGCTGTCATTTTTTCCGGAAGACTGGTGCTTACTCTCTCCCCATGCCCCATTCCAAACAAAACTCCCAAGCTTTGCTGCAGAATTTGACTTTGGAGCGGAAGTGCTGATACGGATTGAGGTTGAATTTCTTTACAGCCTATTGGGATAGGTGCTTAGAGTCAAATTTAAGTTAATTAAAGAAAACAAGGTGTACTCTTTCTGTTACCTAAATAGGAGGTTGCAAATTCATACCTGCTGCATAGACATAAACCACTGTCTGGTACTAAGAAGACAGAAATATTAAGACATAATCTTAATTGCAAGAAACTAGTTCCCTCATCGGAGTACTTTTAAGTATCTGAAATTGCAGCATTATATTCCTTCTTCATGTGTACGTTTAATAGACTTTCACGTTATTAGGAGTTATACAACCACAATATAGGTGAACAGTTACGTATTGTTAAAACTGGTACATTTTGCATTACCTAACTGCCATAGTATGGGGTTTAGCATTATAATGCTCCTTCATACCTTTCCTACAATTTCTTTATGATAACTTTCCCTTTCATGTTTGTGTAATTAGGAAGTATTTATTTTTATGAGATCCTAAAGGAAAATAGTAACTACCAGCATGGGAAATAGATTTATTCCCACTTTCCTGCTTGGTATCCATTTGTGAGGACATTCTAGGCTTGTGCAATTCTTAGTGCTTGTAAACATCAAGAACATCATCTCTTACTGAAGAAGGTATGGGCCCATCACTTTTTGGTATTATTTTGTGTTTTTTCAAAACCGTATATAAGGGGCTTCCCTGGTGGCGCAGTGGTTGAGAGTCTGCCTGCCGATGCAGGGGACACGGGTTCGTGCCCCGGTCCGGGAGGATCCCACGTGCCGCGGAGCAGCTGGGCCCGTGAGCCATGGCTGCTGAGCCTGCGCGTCCGGAGCCTGTGCTCGGCAGCTGGAGAGGCCACAGCAGTGAGAGGCCCGTGTACCGCAAAAAAAAAAAAAAAAAAGCCGTATATAAGATTCTGGAAGTGATGCCTCTCTATCTTGATGGTCCCTGCTGCCCAAGTGTTTCAAATGTAGTCCACTGCATTTCTTACAGACAGCAGTAATATAAGTAGGACTAGTATAAGATTGGCCTGTGAGCAGCTGCTTTTCTGATAGCTAGCCTACCACTTTTGAAGCCTGCATTAGAACCATATAGCAGTTATTATTGTCTTCTCGTTATTTATAATTGCCCCATTGACCTGTAAGCACTAATATTAATAGATATCTCTCGTTTTTGATTTTTACTTCATTTTCCTGATTTTTGAAATAAAATATCTTCACTCTGGAAAACTTAGGAAATACTTAATGAAGAATTAAAATTGTTTCTCATAAGCTAACTTTTACGTTTTGGCCTGGATTATTTTATTTTTCCTATAAACTCATAAGTACTTCCCATGAGACTGGTCTGTGCCAGGGATCATTCTAAGTGCTTTACCTTCAGTTAATTTTCACGATGCTATGAATTTTGTAATTTTCAGCATTTTTTGATGAGGAAACAAAGGCCCAGAGTAGTTAACTTTCCCAATGTCACAGAGGAAATAAAGACAGAGGTAGGATTGGAACCCAGGGCTGATTCACTCTGAACCAGGAAACAGTAGTGCCTTAGTTTGGGCTTAAATGGAACATATGTTTTGTTGTCTTTATTTTCCCGTTAATATTATAATGATATAAATAATTCTGTTTTCATTAAACATTTTCATAAATATCTTTAATAACTGAAGTGTTCATTATATGGATGTTTTATAATTCGTTCAATCAATTTATTTATAAATGCTCTCCATGCCAGTCCCCAAACAGATCTAATTTTGCAAGCTTTGTCGTATTGAATTGATTTAAGTTTAGTAAACTTAGTTATGTATTTCTCTCATTGGGGGAGGTTATTACCTACTCTGGTTAAATTTTAATGTAGATTTTCCAATGCATTTTAATTTTAGGAAATATTATACTGAGGGGAAACTATATCTCATGATGGAAGAAATATAGGAATCACCCCGTTGAATCGGTGAGGGAGATGAAGCTGCAGTTCTGTGCTCCCAGACCCGCCCAGCAGATGGCACCTTCCCCGTGGAGAGCTAAGTTTTCACACTATCTGGTGAGAGCTGCAGTTTTCTTTGAATCATTGTAATTCTGTAGACAAAAAATGTCTTAATTTTGCAGCTCTTGTCACTTCGAATGTGGAAAGATAAAGAACAGTGTGCTAAAATCCAGATACTTCGTGCACTGAAAATTGAGGTGAGGTTGGGGTAAAGTACGTAGGAATGTCTGGGAAGGGATGGCAGTCGGATTCCCTTCTTCAAAATGCATCACTGCTGGTGCTGGGAAAACTGGACAGCTACATGTAAATGAATGAAATTAGAACGCTCCTGAACACCATACACAAAAGTAAACTCAAAATGGATTAAAGACCTAAATGTAAGGCCGGACACTATAAAACTCTTGGAGGGAAACCTAGGCAGAACACTCTTGGACATAAATCTCAGCAAGATCTTTCTTGATCCACCTCCTAGAGTAATGAAAATAAAAACAAAAATAAACAAATGGGACCTAATGAAACTTAAAAGCTTTTGCACAGTAAAGGAAACCATTAACAAAATGAAAAGACAGCCCTCAGAATGGGAGAAAATATTTGCAAATACTGTGCAGCAACTATACCTCAATTCAAAAATATATTTTAAAAAATAGTAACATTCTGAGAAGGGAAAAAAGAATCCATCACTGCTTTCCTCAAAATGCACCAGGGAACAAGATTTTTAAAAGAAATGTGGGGCAATCGTAATTAAGACTTTATTTTTGAGTTTTTACTTTTTGAACATTGAAATATTTCGTGTGGGAGGGAACACAAACAAGACTGAGAATAACCTGAGGCTGAAAACATTTGCAAAGTAGAATATGCCAGGTGCTTTCTTCTGTGTGGTAGATTTCTCAAATGTTCTCTACCTTTGTACTGTGAATATGTAATTAAAGTGGATAATGGAAAAGGAGATGTGAGGAAAAATAAATTGGCTTTTTAATTTTCAGTAATTTGAATATACTGAATTAAAATAACTAGGCAACATACTTTTCTGTCAAATCTAGTCTGGAGATGTGTTTAGAAGCTAACAGTTAAATAAAATGGAAATTAATGAGTTTTTTAAAAATTAAAGCTTCCAAAACATTTTGGGAATTATGGTTTTTACTTGTCATAAATGTGTACATTTTTTTCTAATGTCAGAAAAATTCTTTCCCAGACTTGAATTATTGAAAAGTTTTTATTTTATTTTATTTTCAAGGAAGAGTAGCTTAAAATGGATTGGATAATTTCCAGGATTTTTAAAATAAATTCTGATCTGGGTTAAGACTGTTATACATATTTTCCAAAGATGAGGCAAGTTCGGGAAAATCAAAAAAAGTTTAGAAAATGAGGTTTTCTTAGCAAGAAATGGATTTTACAAATTAACTATTAAAAAGCCCAGTTACTATATATTTGATTCAACCCAATAAAATCCAAACAGCTTTTTTTTTTGGTGGAAATTGAAGCGCTAACCCTAAAATTTATATGAAAAAGAAATGTACCTAGAATAGCCAAAATTATCCTGAAAAAGAACAAAGTTGGAAGACTCACACCACCTGATTTCAAGACTTACTGTAAAAACTACAGCAATTAGAACATTGTGGCAAGAATAGGCAAAGAGATCATTGGAACAGACCATGTACCATCAATTTTCGACATAAAATGTGTAGTCAGGTAATTTTCAAGTAGAGCTTTTTAACAGAGTAACGAGAATCTTCTCCATAATGGAGTCAGACTAAGTAGATAAATGTGGGGAAAATGAACATTTACTCTTACTCTATACAGAAATCAGTTCAAGGTGAATCATAGAACTAAACAAAAAAGCTAAAACCACAAAGCTTCTGGAAGCATATATAACACCTTTAGAACCCTGTGTTTGGGGAGTTTCTTAGAGTGGGCACTAAATATAAAATTAAAAGTTGAAAATTGGACATTATCAGAATTAAACTTCCATTCATCGAAAGCTACTGTAGAAAATGAAAAGTAAAGCCACAGACAGAAAATATTTGCAAAACATATATCGGACCAGTGATTTATATTTGGGTTATGTAAATAATTCCTACAAATCAAAAAAGGACGACTTAACTTTCAAGTGGGAAAATATCTTAGAGAACTTTACCAAGGAAGATCCCTAACTGACCAATAAGTATGTGAAAAGATGCTCAAGATCAAGAGTCATCAAGGAACCACCAAATAAAGCCAAAATGAGATAATGCTACACACACACTAGAATGGCCAAAACTTTCAACACTGACAATACCCAGGATTGGCAAGGATGCAGAGCAACTGGAATTCCCACACGTATTGATGGGAGGTGTAAAGCTATTCAACTAACCACTCTCCTGGGTTGAATAGTGTCTCCCCAAATTAATGTCCACCTGGAACCTCAGAATGTGACCTTATTTGGAAACAGGGTTTTTGCAGGTGTATTCAAGCTAAAATGAGGTCCTAGTGGATTAGGATGGATCCTAAATCTGATGACTGGTGTTTTTGTAAGAAGAGGGAAATTGAAGCACAGGGAGTATAGGAGGCATACAGGAAAGAAGGCCATGTGAAGACTAGGTAGACATTGGAGTTATGCTGACACAAGGCAAGGAATGGCAAAAATTGCCAGCAACCGCCATAAGCTGGAAGAAGCAAGTGTAAGGATTCTTCCCTGGAGCCTTCGGAGGGAGTTTGTCCATGACAGGAACTTGATATCCAACTACCTGATTTCAGAAGTTCTGGATTCCTGAACCCTGTGACAATGCATTTCTTTTGTTTTCATCTACCCAGTTTGTGGTACTTTGTTATGGCAATCCTAGGAAACTAATACAACCACGTTAGAAACGTAGGCAGTTTCTTATAACCTTAAACATATATACCTACCTTAAAACTCAGCGATTCCACTCCTTGGTATTTACCCCAAAGAAATGAAAGCATATGTCTGTAAAACTATTTGTATAAGAGTATTCATAGTGGCTTTAGTTGTAATAGCCGAAACCGGAAACAAATCAAATGTGCAAGACGGGAATGAATAAAAAATTGTTTTATATTCATATAATCAAACACTATTCAGCAATAAAAAGGAATAAACTCCATAGCATGAATGAACATCAAAAAACGAAACATAACAAGAGAAGACAGTAAAAGAAGCCAGAAACAAAGAGTATTTATACTCTATGAGTCCATTGATATGAAGTCCAAGGGCAAGCAAAAGTATTCACAGGCAATTAAAATTAGACCAGTGAGGGGAGGGGAGGGGAGGGGAGGAGTCGACCTGAGAGGGCCTGAAGGGACTATCTCAGACACTGGAAAAGTTCTGTATCTCGACTGTGGAGGTGTGGTGGTGGTGTTTAAGTTAATGTGTATACATTTGTCAAAACCCATTGGGCTACAGACATAAGTGGATGCATTTTATTAAATGTAAATTATATTTCAACAAAATTGTTAGAAAGAAACATAAATCTTGGAGCATTTCACCATATACAATATTTACCTCAATTTAAAAAGAAGAGGGCCATGGCCGTGAGCTGTGGCCGCTGAGCCTGCGCGTCCGGAGCCTGTGCTCCGCAACGGGAGAGGCCACAACAGTGAGAGGCCCGCGTACCACAAAAAAATAAATACATAAAAAGAAGAGAAAATCCTCATTTAATTTAATGAAAATGTTTATCCTTCTTCTGTTTTTGAAAAACATACTAATTATCTGCTTTCAGAACTCACTTTTAATTCTTAGGCAGTAGATTATCTTCAAGTGATTTATTCTTATTCTCTAAGTTTTCCAATCTACCTTGAATGTAAGAATCCGTACAACTCATACCGTCGGAGTTCACTTCTGTGCATGTCGGCAAAGCCTTAGGTCTCAGTTTCCTCGGTTGGGAGGATTCTAATAACTTATCAGGACATAATTTGCTCTGTTGGCTATTTTGTTAGGAAGGGAATAGGTCACTTGCAGGGGCCAATCAAGTGCTAAATAAAAAGACCTGTACTTCAAACTGAGAATGCACAGCTTTAAAGAGCATTCAGAATGTTCTTGGGCATTTTTTCAGATGGGAGGAACAGACAGAATTTGGTCTGTCTGAGAACAAAGAACAAACCAGCTTCAGGTGGGCAGTATCCAGTTCCGGTCTGACAGCTTCTTGGCAAGTGTTCTACGTATCAAGCTCGACTGGATGGAAAGGAGGACCTGAGGGGAAACACAGCAGAAGAGTGGGGGCAGGCAAAAGAGAGAGGGAGGCCCCTGGAGGGGCCTAGGGAATCCACACTGCCCAGCTGCTTCTGTATTTATGGTGCAGCGCCAGCGCCATCATGTGGTCATCAGTGGAATTTCAGAGGAAGAAAGGAATTCTTTCCCCACTACCTTTGAAGAGTGGAATTAAAAAAAACAGTCACCCAAAGGGCCTGAAAAACTTTGAGAAGGATATCACCGTATAATTCTTTTCCATTTAAAAGCTGAAGGGATTCTTGACATCTCAATTAGCAACACATCTGGAATCGTGTTTGTTATCCAGATACCTGTTATCTGTTCCTTCATTCATGGAACATTTGTTAAACACTGTGCCAGACCCTGTACTAAGCAGGAGAAAAGCAGGCATCATGGTCTCGTGAAGCAGACAAACCTGTGAACAAAATATTAGAGCAATACAAGTACTGTAATGCAGGACTGAAAGAGACCCTGCCCCTGAAAAGGAGCCAAGTGGGAGATTTTAATATTTACCAGAAATGCTGTGATGTCCCCTCCGCCCCTGCAATTTGGTGCTATAATCTTATTCCCTGAAAGGCCTGTGTTGATCCTATTGCTTGTGTCACTTGCCCATACACTTTTTTTTTTTAACATCTTTATTGGAGTATAATTGCTTTACAATGGTGTGTTAGTTTCTGCTTTATAACAGAGTGAATCAGTTATACATATACATATATCCCCATATCTCCTCCCTCTTAAGTCTCCCTCCCACCCTCCCTCCTGCCCATACACTTAGAAAAAATCTAGCTATAATTATTGATTGATCGATGGATTGACTCTAATTATTTATTGAGATCCTACTATATGGCAGCACTGTTGTTAAGTGCTGGGAGATAACAGATACAAAGGGAAAAGACAGAAAATGTTTCTTCTTTTGTTAAGCTTGTGTGTGGGGAGTGAACTGTTAAAAAAAATGTCATATATGTCATGTACATAAAACATAAGCTATTTTCTTTTTGCCTATTTATTTTTGTTTTTATTTTATATTTCCCACCCATGTCTGTTGTTCCTTACTTATTAGCTTATGAACAATTATTCTAAGCTATTTCAAGTTAGTTTGAGATTTTTAAATCAGCTTGGCTTCTTCCTTAAGGATTCTGGGAAATTGATTTAACTTTCCTCCTCAGAAGGGCACTTGAGTTTCATTTATTTGTTAAGCCACAAAGTCAGAATTTGGGACAAGACTTCTAGCTTAGCTCTGTTAAATGCTTCATTTGTCAGATTTACTTCCTCATCTCAGTTTCTCCTGGCTGCTTTAGGGTCATGCATGTAATAAACATGAATGGTATCAGAATTTTATAATCAAAGTAGCAGATCTTCGGAAGCTGGCAGCACGCTGCATACACACCCAGCCCCTGCGCCTTGGCACTCACAGCCATCAGGGAGAGGATTGCAGCCTCAGCCCCTCAATCACACAGAGTCGACTGTCTTTCCATCTGCTCCAACTTTGGGAGCCAGAGCAGGGAACGGGGACTCTTCTAGTGACCTGAAATGAGAGAAAATTTAAATAATCATACTGAACTCACTGGAGGAGGGGGCCAGGATGCCCAGAGTTTCCGCTTCAGGCTCAACTACTTTCCCCAATTTAATCAACCCAGTGGCTCATACATGTAAGCCTATCAGCTTCCTGTTCATTTAAATTTGCAGAGAGTTTTTTTTTTTTTTTAATAAAACTGAAGCTAAATAGAGATTATGTGTTATTTCATATAAAGTACAGTTGTAAATTCTATGCTGTGGTAACTTTCTTTTAGCTCCAGGTGTTTCAGACATTAAACACAAAACCAACTTTATGCTCTTTATGAATTTCAAGGAAAACGTCTTTTGATTCATAGTGCCATCTGAGAGGAAAAAAAGGTAATCTTTGCCAAAAAAACCAAACCTGTCATCAACAATAAAAAAAAATCCTTTGCCTAAATTTCTGTATATTTACATGACCTGGTCACAGTTGTTAAAAATTTACAGTCTACGTACATTTGATAAAAAAATTGAAACATTAAAAAATTCTCCTGTGTATCGCTGACTCAAGCCTTTAAAGACATAAATCTGATCTGTGTATGCTTCTACAGAGAACAGTTGTTTCATCAGAATTTTAAACATGTTATTGGTCACTATTAAAACAAGTCCAATAAAAGAACTGAATCCTCATTTAAAAATACATACTTAAAATATTTTTCAGACTTTAAAACATCACCCAAAAGCATGCCTTGCAATTTTATTTCTGAGGTCTTTGCATTTAGGACATATGAACCAACTGTTTTCCCTTTGTGAAGAGCAACTGTGCTGTTCTCATCCTAGCATGCCTCTTCAGGGTATTAACTGCTTCCAGAAAACCATCGTCAGTTGAATCGATGAAGCATCCTCACTGCACAACAGAACAGGATGTACTGATGAGATAATCCTTTCCTTTGTGAAGGGCCAGTTTGAGAGACAGGCTGGATTAACGGCACGCACTTTTAAAGTCGCGGTTCACAGCCAGCTTCATTAAACTGCATTAATAATCTTTGCAGTTTTATTGCAGCAACAACTGGTGAACATTCTGTTGTCAAATAAATAGGCTTTTATATTAAAAATGGATACTGTTCTCACAGTCATATATTTTTAGAGAACTTATTTCCCTAAAATTTCCCTCAGCCTGACACTAAGGTGCCTGAACTGTCTGATGAAGGTCATCAGTAGTGTAAACAGATGAGATAGAATCTTCATGAATAAAGTGACACTTTCTAGACCCATCCCTCTCAACCTCCAAGTCTATACCAATTTAACAGAGTCTTGAATTGTCTGTAAAATTATGTCAAAATATAGGTCTCATCTATATGTTACTCTCATGGCCTAATTAATCAAATACTACAAAGAAAATGACACTGTTTTGTATCCAAGGCAACAGTATAGTATATTGTGCCTTCACTAGGTATTTTTAAGCTTGAATTTGAAAATCAAGTATCAATTCCATAGCCGTAGCATTATTTACTCATTTTCATGAAGGATAAGAAGGCTTATATAACTTGACACTGAGAATAGAAAGAGTTATTTAAAGATTATTGCTCTAGTTCATTGCTTAAAAAGTTCCTCATCTATGTCATGTAATAACAATAATAACCACAGGGCTTCCCTGGTGGCGCAGTGGTTGAGAGTACGCCTGCCAATGCAGGGGACACGGGTTCGTGCCCCAGTCCAGGAGGATCCCACATGCCGCAGAGCAGCTGGGCCCGTGAGCCATGGCCACTGAGCCTGCGCGTCCAGAGCCTGTGCTCCACAACAGGAGAGGCCACAACAGTGAGAGGCTTGCATACCGCAAAAAAAAAAAAAATAATAATAATAATAACCACAATTAAATAATAACATTGTTGTGGTCCTAAAACACTGTGTGCTAGATACTGTTTTAGGCACCTCACATATACTATCTTATTTAACTCTTATGACAGTGTTATGAGATTGGTATTATTATTATCCCCATTTTATTGAGGAGGAAACTGAGTCACAGGAAGGAGGAGTAACATTCAGAGTCTCATAGAGAGGATGTGGTAGAGTCAGGACAGAGTCTTGTCACATGCTCTTCCCGCTAAGCGAATCCTCTCTATAATCTTTTTATTTTTTTTTACATCTTTATTGGAGTATAATTGCTTTACAATGATGTGTTAGTTTCTGCTTTATAACAAAGTGAATCAGTTATACACATACATATGTTCCCATATCCCTTCCCTCTTGTGTCTCCCTCCCTCCCTACCCCACCCTTCTAGGTGGTCACAAAGCACTGAGCTGAGCTCCCTGTGCTATGCGGCTGCTTCCCACTAGCTATCTATTTTATACATGGTAGTTTATATCTCTCAATGCTACTCTTTATCTCTAGGCTGAAATCCTCCTTCAACTTCATATCAGGCTGCAGACCATCTCTTCCCAAACAGCCTACCAGATCATCAAATTCAGCACGTTCCAGATGGCGTGGAGGATCTGCTGCCAGGTACCTGCTGCCTCCACCCTTAACTTCGATTGTCTAACTTACCTTCCCAGTTGTGATGAAGATGCTTTCAGTCTCTGCTCTTGCTTCCCCATCAGTGCTTGCCTCACTCACACTTGGTCCTAGCCAATTCCCGTATCCGACCTATGAGACACCTTTAGCATCTGTTTCCTCTTCCCTATCCCCAGGCTCCATTCTCTCCGAGGCACTGCTTATCTTTAACCTGGACTTTTGAAATTGACCTTGAGTGGTTCTTCCTATCTCCATTCTTTCTTCTCCAATGAATCCTACACAGTAGTCGCAATGAAACTTACTAAAACATACTTCAAATCATTCCTGCTAAGAAAATCCTAGTAGCTTGCCTATAAAATGAATACTAAGCTCCTAAACTTGCCACTGTAGGTTGTTCATATGATAACCTCAACCTTGTTTCATTCCTATTGCCATTGCATCCTTCTGTCTCTGCCTATCTGTTTTTGCTTGTGAAATGTTCTTTAATCTTATTTTGTTATGTCTGATCCACCATCCCAATACCAACCCATTGCTTCCACCTCACCATTGTGTCTCTCCCACGTTCTAGATGAGATGTCCACTTGTTTGGCCAAATCTTCTTTCCTAATTTTTCAGGTCTCTCCCTTTCTCTTCCTCCCCTTCGCTAAATCTTGGTTCAAGAATTCTTGCTTAGGCTAGAAAAATGCTTCCTAACTAACCTACCTAATCTCCTTCATTAAACCCACTCAGCATTATCACGTCAGGGTAACAGTATCAAAACACACACTTTCACCTTGTCAATTTCCTGTTCAAATGTTAGAAGGGCTTCCTATTTACTACAGATCAAACTCCAAAGAGGCCACCATATGACACAACTACAGGGAGCTCCACAACTACAGGGAGACCCATTCAGGTTTTATTCTGTTGGAGTCCTCAGACTTCTTAGTTTAGCCTTAAGCAGTATTTTGAGAACCAGTAGTAGAAATGTTGTTATATTACAACCTGCCCCTCCACTCTCCCGGCCCCCGCAAGGCATACACAATCACCAAGAGAAGATGGGCCATTACCTTCAGGTATGTTGGGGAAGCATTGAGTCAAATAGGTTCTCCTTCCTGGAGGATGTTCAGATGTCTTCCATATGCTAATGTGTATTAGGAATCTCCAAAAAGAATGTCTATGGACAAGAGTTGTTTTTGTTTTCCTCAGTCACTCTTTGGTATTTCCCAGGACACCAGAGTCTCCAACCTAGAGTTTAGGAAAGCCTGCCCTCCACATTCTCTGATCCTGTCGTCGCCCCAGGTCAGAGGCCACCTCAGAACTGCCTTCCCGACCATCTTGGTGGACGTTGCCATCCCTCCTCTATGCCGTCCTCCTGTTTTATGTTCTTCATAATACTTGTCACGATTTGATGTGATGATGCTTGTTGCTTGTTACTTATTGTTTGTTGTTTTTTTCCTCTAGGATGTAAGATCCAAGGGAACCAGCATTCTGTCTTGTCTGTTACTATCTTCTCCACGTGGGATAGTACCTGATACACTTAATGCGGGGTTTTTTTTTTGGAGGGAATATATGTTCCAGTCAAAAGCCTTGCTTGTGTCCATCTCCTTGTTTCTCTCCCTACCTAACTGAATTTAGGCTTATGTTACACGGTTGAAATAAAAGTTTCCTCCTCTTTGAGGTTTTCCCTGATGGCCTGACTCATCACAAGTAATAGCTCTTCTACTGAACTTCTGTAACGTTAGTATTTGAATAAGTCAATTTAGTTTGAACAGTTAATATTTTTTTACATAGAAATGCTACCTTATTCCCCCAACTATAGGGTATTTGCCTTGTGGCCAGGATTGGTGTCATACGTTGGATATCTCCGAAATAACCAATACATGGCTTCCCAGGTAAGCAATAAATATCTGTTACTTGATTGAGTAGATATTCCCATTCTGTTCCCTTGAAGGATGCAGTGTCATGCTCGTATGTGGATTGGCTGGGAGGGCTCCATCCTAGCAGGAAGTATATCCCCTGCTGGCAAGGAGGTAGAGAGAGGGTTTCTACAGCAGGAGAATCTTAGAGACTTGCTTTGGGTTCTCCTGTATGTGTGCTTTCTGGCATTTCCATGTGTTTGGTAAGTCTTCCTTGCCAGTAGCTACGTGGAACAGAAGAGGGGGAAAATCCCTCTTCTGTTCAGAGTATGACAGAGTATGATCAGTCATAGAGAGGGGGAATATGGACCTTGCAGGGAAGCAAAGGAAAGTGTACCTCTTCTCAGTTTGCAGAAAGGTAGTTTGCACTTAAACAGCAGTTTTTAAAAGTGTGTATGATATGCTGTTTTGAGAACCTTTTTCCTTCAAATGTTTATTTTACAGTATTTCTACACACATTATTTCATGTACAATATGACAGAGAAAAAATATGGAAGATATAAGTGATCAAATAGTTTTGCTAATAGCCAAGAGGTTTTCAATTTAAATATGATGGATTCTGTTTGGGTGGAGGTGCTATACATTCTCAACTTTAAAATTATTTCTTATTCTCAGAAGAAGTAGCTATAACTGGGAGGAGTTGTGGTAAAAAGGTATAATGAAGAAGTTAGGGAAAGAAGGGAGTTTGGGATCGAAAAATACAGTATGAGTGAAAATTCTTGTCTCGTGTATATGTAGAGGGTCTTAAATTCAGCAGTGCCAGCAAAACCTCTCTGGCGTCAGGGACCTTGGATTGAGATGTTACTTCCTGCAACAAATCAATAGGCACGTGCATTTTTATGTAAGTCCCTTCAATGTTAATCCATCTTTAAAATTATCACAGCAATTCCATTTCTTTTGTGTAGAAATAAGATGTTCTTTGTTGAGACAGGTTAAGCTATTGGGTCTTCATCCAAGTGATGTGGCTTAAGAACATCTGGAGAACCTACCCTTGTTTTCTTATTAATGGAAAGCTTGTAGGGCTTAGTGATTTATAACTTCTGTGTGTACTAACACACCATCTGATTTTTTTCTTTTTTTAGAACTTTATTTCATTTGGAACCTTTATGTGATGATGTAATATGCCACATATGAAACTTTCCTAATGAGAAAAGCCAGTATTTCTGCCGCATGTCAGATTGCATAGCCTGGAGGGGCATGATTTGGAGCAGACCCCACCTAAGTGTTTGGATCTTCTGGAATGTTGTCAGGGTGCTAGTTTCAGCTTGTCTCCAACCTTTCCATCTCAGCCTAGCCTGGGACCTTAAGATGAAACCTACCCGCAGGTGGATTTGGCAGAGCTTTGAGGTACTCTGTGAGAGAGGGAAAAAAAAAAAAAAAAAAGCATTGGGTATCAAATACATTTGAGGAATTGCAGAATTCTAAATCTGCTGTTTGAAAACTCTCACGGCTTATTAGCATATTAAGGCTTTGAGAATTCCTACAGCTCTACAAAATTGGGTCTGTCTTGTTCCCTTTACTTTCCCGTCTTCATCTCCCACGTCTCTCTGTCACTCTCTAGCAACTCAATTGATATGGGTTAGGCACAGGCACTTGGGTTGTTGGGTTGTTACCCGGCTGTTGGGTAATCGAGGAGGCCCCAGTGAGATGACTGGAGCATCTTAGCTCTGTTGCATGCGCCTCTCATCCTTCAGCAAGCTAGCAAAGGCATAATCTCCTGCCCGTCACAGAGACGCAAGAGCCAGCAAGCCCTTCAGTGTGCTTATATCAATTTGCTAATGTTCTATTGGCCAAATCAGGTCACATGGCCAGGCACAGACTCAGAGCAGGCAGGCACTGCAACGCTACAAAGCAAAAGGGGCCGATACAGGAAGAGGTGAATAATTTGGGTTACTTTTGTAAACTACCTTATGTGTTAGAACTTTAAATTTTTTTTGTTTCCCTCTACTAGAATATAAGCTCCACAAAGGCAGGTTTTTTTTAAATCTATTTTGTTAACTACTTACTTTTATTACTTAGAACAGTGCCCTGCACATAGTAGGTACTCAATAGATATTTGTGAATGAATGCATAAAAATAAACCCATTTAACTGTGTTTAAGCCAACATTTTCAAATATGTTTTTCAGTTGATCCCATTATTAGTGGAAAGCCAGATGAAATTTCATTGGAAAGTAGAGATCCTTCGGATATCTATGCCTTTCTTACTGAGGATGGAAACTCCAGTAATTAATGGAAAATGATGATCTTTACAAAGAGAAAAATCTCTCAGTATTCATTTTGCCTCCTTTCATTCACCTAACTAACTTAAGTTTTAGTAAATGGCTTTCATGTATCAGGTGTGTACCAGATGCTCATGGTAGTGGAGAGCGAGAATACAGCTCCTGTCTCTGGGAGGTCTCAGATGAGTTGAAGAACAAACCTATAAAACTGAACTTTGACCAATATGATATGTGCCATTGTAACGTTGTTAAAACAGCCCCCAAGAACACAAAGGAAGAAGTGTTTACATGTGCCATAAGATATGAGAGAGAGCATTCTACCTTTGACCATCATATCTATTCAGACTGATAAAGTCACTCTTCTAACACAACTTGCATATTGCCAACATAGCTGTTCATACCATTTAATCTCTTCGCCCATCCACACATTCACCCTTGTTCTCTGTTCTTTCCAAATCCTACCCATTCTTCAAGTCTGACCAGCAATGGAACATTCTCTGAGTTTGCTTACAGTTTTCCCCTGAATTCCATAGCATTTATTGTCTGTATCATAGTCATGTGTAATACCTACAGACATCTGTACTGTTTTTTAATTGACTATTTAACCCTCCTGTTGTTCACCTTTTCATGTGTGACTGTTTTGTCTTTTCAAAGAATTAATAACCATCTTGAGGGTAGAGTTTGTGTTTCTTTTCTGGAATTGCTAAAAATAATGCTTGCTATAATAGGTGCTCTGATAATTAATTAGAAGGATATACTGAAAACTGAAAGTTTTAACTTCCATTCATCACCTAATTATGGTCAGGCCTGATAATGCTTGTGAGCTATTGGCTATCAGTACAGAAATATTTCTACTTAGAACTGGTGTTTATGTACTGTCTTTATGTTGGAAACTCGTTACTACTTTATATGAAGCTGCAACCACAAGCCAGTATTTTTAACAGGTTGAAATAAAACTGACAAATATTAAGAGGTTTGGAAATGGATAAGAGAAAATTTTAAAATGGTGAAATGGCGAACTATAAATGCACAGGGAGTAAAGAGATTTCTCTACTGGCAAAGAATATGTTGAAAAAGGGAACAAAGAAAAAACAAAGATGTGTTACCTGCTGATTTTTGGCTCCAGAGCAGAGCAGTGAAGCATTTGTCATCTGTCAATTAGTTTTGCAATTTCTGTACACCTGCATATTCTATCCATTAGCCCCATAAGAGTGCCCTTTAGTGGGAAATTTTGCTTAACATGGTACTTGATGTGTGGGGAACTCCCCAAATGAACCACAAAACAATCAAGTCAATTCATGTAGGTTGAGAAGAATCTGAATCTTACATTTGACTTGGAGGCCCTTGAAAAAGGCAAAAAGGATCTCATCAGTATTCCAAGTATTCACTGAAAGAAACTGCTCCAAGTCATAGTAATGATGATAAGAGAAAGGAAATTGGTAGTTTACTCATAGTCATAGTAATTAAAGCATAATAATCCATTCAGATCCTATTAAAGACTGTGTCTCACTCAATACATTTCCAGGCAGGTTTTAGGCCACAGCCCATTCAAAACTCCTTTTCCTTAAGTTCTACAGTCTAAGGAATTTCTTGCACTCATTCATGGCTCTCTCATATTAGGGGATGGGTGCTGTGTACAGCTGATGGATTAGTTTATTGCTTATGAACTTATTTCCCATTTTAAGTGAATGCATTTTGTTGGAGGTCTCATTGGTATCTGTATGGTGTGAGTATTCATCTTTAAGCCTTATCCTTTTGGAATGAGCTGACTATGGACGTCTCCACTTGCATAGTTGAGAAACCTGTTGCTGGACTCAGAGTAATCTCACAAAGGTCAGAAGCCTGACCTGGAACAATTTCTTTACCTCAAAAACTGATATTAGCTACAGACATCAGTAAGCACACAGTATACTAGAGCACATACAATTTTTTAAAAAAGAAATGTGATTTTTGCTGTATTCTATTAAACTTGAATTTATTTCATTCTCACATTTTTCCTTTCATTTATGCTATATGTAGGTATTATAAGGAAAAAGATTGTTATTTGATTACATTAAGATCAGTCCAGTCCTAGCTAATATAATAAGACAAGGCAAGACTGAGAAGGAAGATATGAAATTGTCTTTATTCACAGATGATATGATCATCTATGTAAAATATCCAAAAGAATTTACAAAATAACTCCTGGAACTAATGAACAATTACAGCAAGGTTGCAGGATACAAGGTTAATATACAAAAATCATTTCACTTCCCTATGTACTAGCAATGAAAAAGTGGAATTTGAAATTGAAACTATAATACCATTTATATTAGCACCCCCCAAAATGAAATACTGAGGTTATAAATCTAACAAAATATGTGCAAGGTCTATATGAAGAAAACTGCAGAACTCTGATGAATGAAATAAAAAAAGAACTAAATAACTGGGGGCATATTCCATGTTCATGGATAGGAAGACACTATTGTCAAGATGTCAGTTCTTCCCAACTTGATCTATAGATTCACTGAAATCTCCTTCAAAATCCCAGCAAGGTATTTTGTGGATATTGACAAACTGATCCTAAAGTTCATATGGAGAAGTAAAAGACCCAGAATACCAACACAATATTGAAGAAGGAGAACAACGTTGGATGACTGACACTACCTGATTTCAAGATTTACTATAAAACTACAGTAATTAAGACAGTGTGGTATTGGGGAAAGAATAGACAACTAGATCAATGTAACATAATTGAGAGCCCAGAAATAAATCTGCATAAATACAGTCAACAGATCTTTGACAAAGGAGCAAAAGCAATACAATGAAGCCAAGACAGTCTTTTCAACAAATGGTACTGGAACAACTGGACATCCACCTGTGAGTAATGAATCTAGACACAGTTGTTACACTCTCACAAAAATTAAATCAAAATTGTTCATAGGCCTGTGCATATAAATTTAAACACAAAACTATAAAACTCCTAGAAAATAACATAGGAGAAAACCTAGATGACCTTGGGTATGGTGATGACTTTTTAGATACAATACCAATGACATGGTATATGAAAGAAATAATTGATAAACTGGACTTCATTAATATTGAAAACTTCTGTGAAAGATAATATCAAGAGAATTAGAGGATCAAGCAGAAACTGGGAGAAAATATTTACAAAAGGTGCATCTGATGAAGGACTATTATCCAAACTATACAGAGAACTCTAAAAACTCAAGAATAAGAAAACAAACAACCTGATTAAAAAATGGGTTAAAGACCTTAAGAGACACCTCACCAAAGAAGATTTACAGATGGAAATAAGCATTTGAAAAGATATTCTTCATCATATGTCAATAAGGAAATGAAAATTATAACAACAGTGAGGTACCACTACACACCTATTAGAATAGCCAGAATCTAGAACATTGACAACACCAAATGTCAGTGAGGACATGGAGCAACAGGAACTCTTATTCATTGCTGGTGAGAATGCAAAATGGTTTAGCCACTTTGGAAGACAATTTGGTATTTTCTTATACAACTAAACATACCCTTACCATACAATACAGTAATCATGCTCCTTGGGATTTACCCAAAAGAGTTGAAAACTTATGTCCTCATGAAAACCTGCACATGGATGTTTATAGAAGCTTTATTCATAATTGTTCAAGCTTGGAAGCAAGCAAGAAGTCCTTCAGTAGGTGAATGGTTGAATAAACTGTGGTACATCTAGACAATGAATATTATTCATTGCTAAAAAGAAATGAGCTTTCAAGCCATGAAAAGACATGGGGGAAACTGAAATGCATACTACTAAGGGAAAAAAGCCAACCTGAAAAGCGGACATACTGCGTGATTTCAATTATACGACACTCTGGAAAAGGCAAAACTATGGAAACAATACAATGATCAGTAGTTACTGGAGGTTGAGAGATGAATAGTAGGAGGACAGAGGATTTCTAGGGCTCTGAAAATATGTGTAATACTATAATGATGGACACATGTCATTATGCATTTGTCCAAACTCATAGACTGCACAATGCCAAGACTGAACCCTAATGTAAACTGTGGGCTTCAGGTGATTATGATGTGTCAATATCAGTTGTAACAAATGCAGTACCCTGGTGGGGGATGTTGATAACGGGAGAGGCTGTGGATGTGTGAGGGCAGGGGGTATATGGGAATCCCTGTACCTTCTTCTCAATTATGCTGAAACTACTCTAAAACAACTAAGTCTTAAAAATAAGTCTATTTTAAGAAAGTGTAGATAAAACAAAGTTAAATATTAGAAAATCATTTTCAACATAAAAAGCGACATGAATGTGTAAGAAAAATAAATACGTTCCTCCCTTCACAGGGCAAAAGACATGAGTTTATAAAATTAGAAATGCAAATTTTAGAGTGTTATGCCAGCTCTCACCTACCAAACTGACAAAGATTCTTTTTAAAAACATTTTTTTACTTTTAATACACTTTTTTTAGGTTACACTCCATTTATGGTTATTAAAAAATATTGGCTATATTTCCCATGTTGTACAATACATCCCTGTAGCTTGTCTTATACCCAGTAGTTTGTACCTCCCACTCCTCCACCCTATGTTGCCCCTCTCCCCTCTCCCCACTTGAAACCACTAGTTTGTTCTCTATTTCTATGAGTCTGCTTCCTTTTTTGTTATATCGGTTTGTTTGATGTATTTTTCATATTCCATATATAAGTGATATCATACAGTATTTGTCTTTGTCTGACTTATTTCACTTAGCATGATACCCTCCAAGTCCGTCCATGTTGTTGCATATGGCAAAATTTCATTC